AGAGCGGGAGGGGAGGGAAAAATACACACCCCAGGATGGCAAAGAGGGTTCAGATGGGTGCCAGTGTGTTTGTGTGTGCCAACACAATGTGTCACCACATGCTGCCCCTGTACCCGACTGAGGCCCATGGCAGCACCCTGCCTCAGTTTCCCCAGCTGCTTGCATGAGCTCTTGTCCTAAACCACTGTTGCTCAGCATTCACCCCACATCCCCAGGACCATGCTATACCTCCCACCCAATAGCTGCAGGGTGGGTGTAGGGGGCAGGAGAAGCATCCTGGTAGTGATACCTTTCCTCAGCATGATAGGTTTTGACCATTTTGACTCAGCCACGGGTTTGGAGCCCTCCAAGGCAAGGAACTTCACCCTAGGATAGGAAGGAAAGTTGGCCATGGTCCCATGAGCCAGAAGGCTGCTGGCAGCCCTTGGAGGGGCACGTCCCTGAGAGCAGGCTCACCGGTATGGCCCAGGGCCAGGCAGGGGGCCGTTGCAGGTGGGTCTTGTCTCGTTCCCGACACAGCTTGTCTCACTGCCAACACGCAGCACTGTGATCTCCCCTTTGGGTTTGGGGCAGGCGTAGTTGGCAAGGGTGAGATTGAGGGTCATGTAGGCAGGGACGGGGTCAGGAAAGCCCTGGTACGCAGTCTCATTAGTCCCTGGCATCACACTGTTGTTGAAGGTGGATGCACCTGCAGGGATGTGGATAGAGATGAGGAGGGATGGGGGGGAGGGGGCACAGGGTGCCCTGCACAACCCCTGCCCTGGGCTGGTCCCACCTACCCTTGTCCGTGGCCACCACCAGCCAGATGACAGCATTTTTATAATCCCCAAAGACACAGCGAGGCTGCTCCAGCACAAAGGTGGAGGTGGTCTTCAGCCCCTTCAGCGGGGTCTTGGTCAGGGCCGGCGTGTATTTCACCTTGTCTGCAGTGAGAAGCCAAGAGGATGCAGTGGAGGGTGCAGACCCTCTGCTACAGCCTCTGTCAGGCAGCTCTGACCAGCTGCTGCAGTGCTAGAGGCTCAGGGTGGGGACAGGAGGGAGCTGACTCCTGTGATCTTGGTGGAGGGACCCCTACGCCCCTCTTGCCCCCCATTTTGGGCTCAGACAGGTTCATGAGATGCACCATTCCCCTATCTAGGGAGGAATATCCCTGCAGGACCCCAGAGGACCCAGGTCAGTGACACCAGGGATGCTAGAGGTGGCATCCAAAATAGGGGGGCATCGGTTGCCCTACACCTCCAAGTTCAGGGGAGGTCCCGGTGCCTGTGCACTGGGGACTCTCAGAGTGCCAAGGGCCCCCCCAAAGAACCCCACACTGTGCCAGCAGACCCAGGTCAGTGACACCAGGGACACTAGAGGTGGCATCCAGAGTAAGGTGGGCATCAGCTGCCCTATCCTCCAGACTCTGGGCAGTCCTGGTGCCTGTGCACTGGGGTCCCCCACAATGCTGAGGGGACAGCCCAACCCGGTGGTGTTGTTAGACTCACCTACGCCGTGGGCCACGGGCAGGAGCAGGAGGAGCAGTGGGAGCATGGTGCTGGTGCCTGGGTGCCGAGGGCAGGAGTGCAGGCGGTTGGGCTCTGCGTCCCAGTGGGACTCACCTGTGGTCACTAACCGCCCACATTCCTGCACCAGCCGCAGCCCCACGGCAAACAGGTTGGGCTCGTTTCCCCGGGAGCATTTGTTATGTTTGAGCGCCGCCGGCGAGGCGTGCTGAGAACTGCCACACTCATGGCATGGGTGGGCGACAGCCCTCACACAGGAGATGGGACAGAGAGGGTCACCCCACAGACCCCACCGGTGCCACCATGTGCCCCCTACCCCAACACCAAGTGCCACCAAGTCAGGGCCCTGAGTGGTTTCTCGGGTCCATTAGCCCCATCCTCACTGTTCCCATCCTGTGTGGCCAAGGACCAGGAGGAGGCAGTCACAGATGTAAAATCAGAGTTTACTTGGCAGGACAATTCACTTCTAGTGGAAGGTGTCCCTGCTTGTGGCAGGGGGGTTGAAACGGGATGGTCTTTAAGGTCTCTTCCAACCCAAACTGTTCCATGATTCTCTGGCACGGAGCAGAGGGTTGAGGAGCAAAGCAGCCCAGCCCTGGGTGGCTACAGCCAC